GGGGGGGAAGAAACAGTCGTCAGCTGTGCCTGGAGCTCTGGAATCTGAAATTGTATGACTTGTTTCACATCTCTTCTGGAAAAGGGGGCTTCCTCGAGCCAGGCTCAGCCCCAGGACAGCGAAGCTATTGCACTGCCCTGCTCCCACCCCTGTCCCTGCACTGGGCCCACGTACTCACCCACATACTGGTAAGGACCCTCCGAGGCCTGGCCTTTCCAAGATTTAGCACTTGGCCAGGTGAGCACAAGAGGCTGAGCCTCTGCTGTGCTTTCTCTGTCCCTTCCAGGTGCCCGGCGCCCCTGGGCACCCAGGGCCCTCCAGATAGGCTGGTGGAGGAGGTGGAGGAGCTGCCCCCCAAAAACTACTGGCCTATGGTCTGGACTCCAGGGCCTCAGTTCTGACAACACCAGGTGTGCCTGAGCCCATCGGGGCCAGGCCTGAAGAGGTGTCCCTTGGTGTGTGGGAGGGGGTCAGTGGAGAGGGCATGGCAGAGAAGGCCCTGCCAGGAGATTCTTGGGGACGAATCATTTGCCTCATGGACAGAGCCTGAAGGAGGAGGCATGATGTTCACTGCCCTGGAGAGGCCTGGGATTGGGTACCAGGAGCAGCCTCAGGCGGACCCCGTCAGCAGCCTCTGTCTTGAACTTGATCTCATTAAATGTCCCTCACCTGTACCGTGCTTCACTCTAGTGTGCCTGTCCTTTCATCATGGGTGCCTTCGGCCCACTCTGGCAGTGCTTAGGACTGAGGCCTTGTTCTGGATGTTGGGAGCAGCATGTGGTCTTGTGCGCCTCTTCTCTGGGCCTCAGGCAGTGGCCTGGTACTGTTCCCTAAGGAGTGGGACGGAGGTTGGCAGAGAACTGGGTTTCCATAGTCCCAGGGACCTCAGGAGAGAGGGTTGGAGACGGGCAGTGGGGCGCTTTTCACCCAGACCATCCAGCTGGGAGTGTGGCTGAGGGCCGGGGCCAGCTCCCCTCACCACAGGGCACCGCTCAGGGAGTTTGTGCATGGGACACACCACGTAGGAGTCTTTACAGAGTCTGGGCCTGGAACGGGCTTCGCCCCTCTCTCAGTACAGCTCCAAAAATGGGTTTTGCCATGTTATTCCAGATGGCAGCCACTGGCTCCATGTGGCTAAATTTTAATGAATTAAAGTTAGAGCAGAAAATGTCATTCGTCAGTCGTACTTGCCACATTCCAAGTTGTCAGGAGCCACAGCGGCTGGCTAGTGGCTACTGTGTCCGGTGAGGTTGACGTGAACTTGTCGTCCGTCGTGACAAGAAGTTCTACGGAAGGCGCTGCTTGAGACAGCGACTCACAGAGCCTCTCATCGTACGATCTGCCTGACAAGATTTCATCTCAAGTCAGGCCAGGGGCACTCCCCCACCCACTGCTGGCACTCTCACCCTTCCTGGGACCCCCTTTAAAGCAGGCTCTGGAATCAGGCTGAGCAGAGGTGCTGACAAATGTATCTAGGGCTGATCTCTGACGTGAAGACCATCGGACTGCATGAGTGGGCGGACACCCTGAAACCCATCACCACTGTGGTGAGCTCCACCTCCTCCAGTCACCCCCTGGCAGAAGCATCTGCTGATGTGCGATGGGGACCCAACATGCCTTTTGCCTAGAAGCCAGGACCCTCCCACAGCACCCCCCTGCAGGAAGCCTTCCTCAGCCCTTACCAGCAGACTGGACACCATGCTGGACACTATGGGCTTGACTGTTCTGCAGGAAGATCCCTCCCTTAACTGAGAGCTTCCCTCCCCGGAGCAGCCACTCTGTAGCGTTCAGTATCCGGACCCCAGAATCTCCAGACCCCTGGAGCCTGGGACGCTGAGGTCCAACCTGCTGGCCAGGAAGAAACTTGACACAGCCAAGGACAGGTCCACACAGCACGGGTGGTGACTTTGATGTTTACCTTGTATTTTCTCGTGGGCAAATAAAGGCCAGAGACCTCCCTAGTATGTGTTTCTTGAGGCGTCACTTGGGTTGGATGGAAACATGTAGAGTAGCTTACCTTCTGCCTTGGGGCTGGCCTTCACCTGAGCCCACTGGGGTCACAAAGGGCAGGGCTGTGCACTTGAGAGTCCCCACCCAGGGGATGAGTTCTCACCTGCGAACAGGAGGGTTGGCTGGGTGCTACAGCTCTTCTCACTCGGATTTTGCTGCTGTTCCCGCTGAGTTGCGCAGTGCCTTCCTGTAACTGAGTGGGTGGGAGCTCAGGGGGAGGACTAGGGTCAGGAGGTGGAGCCTTGTGGTTCTAGGCCGGCCTGCCTGCCTGGACAGGCTTGTGGGTGGGAAGACTGAGGATGCTTGTTTCTAGAATGTTCTAAGTCCTCTGGGGGTGCCTAGAGCAGAGCAGGGCTGGGTGGCAGAGGCCTGAGCTCTGTGGCCCCAGGCAGTTCATAAGGCCTCTCTGGGCTCAGTTCCTCACTAGGATTCAGTGATCATTCTGATCCCCAGCTACCACCTCCCGGAGGTGCTTAAAGGCAAGGGTCACTCCCATTTCCCAAAGACAGTATGGCCTTCTTGGCCAGTCCTCTGGGAGACACGGGGTTGCAAGAGCCTGCACCCCGTGGCCTGTGAGCAGGTCCCAACTCAGCCCACAGCTCTCTCCTCCACAGATGCGGCCCCCCTCACGCCAGCCCCCTGCCCTTCCCTGTGGACGACCCCAGGACCAACTAGGTAACGCGGCTGGACACCATGCCCATGCCGTGCTCCTCTTTCTGGGCCTTTCCCCTTTCCTCCTGCACTGGGGGTGGCAGTGGCTGGAAGGCAGGGCACCTGGGGGCTCATGTGCCCCTTCTGCCCCAGCCTGCCTGCTTTTTCCTCCGTGGGGCTTCTAGCCCATTCCTTCTCCATCTCCCATGAGCCCCATACCAAGGCAGGCAGCATCTGTGTTGTGCTGGTCCCCACAGCAGCTGCCAGGAGCCATTTCCAGGTCTAGGGGCAGGAGACAGACAGCCCTTTGAAAAGATCTCCTAGCTGGGAAGCCTGGTTTAAGTCCTGGCCTGGCCTTGGTAGCCTTGTAACTCTCTCTCTGGGCCTCTGAACATCTGCCTTGCTCTGCTGGGAAACCTTGAGGAGCTGAGGGGACCCAAGTTGGGAGGGCCAAGGAGTGCCCTTGGTCATCTTGAGGATATTAGCCCTCCCACGCAGAGTGACCTCCTTCCCTCCCCTCTCACATCCAGCTTCTCCCTTCCTTGGGCAGTTTGTGGTTCTATTTCTCTGTGCTGTGTGATCATGGGTCCTTTCCAGGCCTCTCTGGGCTTCCTGCTCTGTGGGGAGGAGGAAGAGGCATTCTGCGATGCCTCTTCCCCAGATGCCCACTGGGCCTCCTTCCCCCTGCCCTGTCCTGCAGGGATGCTGGACCCCGGGGCACCCTGACTTTGCGGGGCTGACCAGGTCTCATCTTGCATCCCCACAGGGTGCAGCCCGGAATCCCGAGGATGTGGACCGGGAGCGGCGAGAGCACGAGCGCGAGGAGAGGATGGGGCAGCTCCGGGGGTCTGCGACCCGGGCCCTGCCCCCAGGCCCGCCCACGGGGGCCACCGCCAACCGGCTCCGCAGTGCTGCCGAGCCTGTGGCCTCTACCCCAGCCTCCCGCATCCAGCAAGCTGGTGAGCAGGGGCCTCGGGCAGGGGGCCGTCTAAGGGGAGCCAGGGCAGCCAGGGCCCCGACACTGAAGGTGGCTCCCCTGCTCACCCCCCAGGCAATACTTCTCCCAGAGCGATCTCACGGGTGGACAGAGAGAGGAAGGTGAGCATGCGGCTCCACAGAGGCGCTCCCGCCAACGTCTCCTCCTCCGACCTCACTGGGCGGCAAGAGGTCTCCCGGATTTCAGCCTCACAGGTGAGCTGCCGGCTCGATCCCTCCTGTGCCTCGCAGCCAAGCCGGAGACCCCCAGGCACAGCCAGGCCTTGTGGCCCTCTTCTTCTCCGCCTCTGATTCTCATAACCTCACCTTGCAGTGAGCCCCTTTTGTTGAGCAGGGACTTGGCCTCATTTAACCCTTCAGTGTCTGGTTAGCCCCACTGAGCAAAGTCAGAAATAACTTGCCCTCACAAGTGGTAGAGCTGAGGCCCAGCCCTCGCTGCCAGGAGCCCAGCCTGGGTGGGCAGCAGGGATCTCACAGGGGAGAGGCTCACAGTACCTGCCATCAGGAAGCCCCCACAAGTCCCGGTTAGCACAGGATAGAGGGCTGGGCGGATCCTCTCCAGTGGCCCCACTCGGAGGCCATGGTTGGACCAGGAAGGTTGGGAAGGGGGAATCCCGGTTGACCAAGGAAGGTGTCCTAGCAGAGGTGGGCAGGAGACTTGCTCTGGTCCACAGTGGAGAAGTCTCAGCCGGTCAGGCCAAGAGCTGGGCATCCAGTGGCCAGACCAGGTTGTGAGTGGCCTGGAGCAGCTGTTTTGCCTCTCTCTCTGGGGAATGTTTTCATCTACAAAGCAGCCACATCCTAGAGTCATGGAGATCACACACCTCTTCCCCTTGGCTCTAGGGCCTTGGCGGGGTGGGCTGGAGCTCCCTAGTGGGGAGAGACTTGCCACATTGCCGATGCTAACAGCGTATCCCCTTCCCCATCTCTTGCTTTCCTTCCAAAGACAAGCGTGCCATTTGACCATCTGGGGAAGTGAGGAGCCACCATCGACCAGTATTTGCTTAGGTGAGTTGCTCTCCACTGCAGACACAGCCCCACCAGCTCTAGAAACACCTTTGGCCCTAGGAGGAGACAAATGTGTGTTGTGGAGAGGTAGGGGAGTTGCAGGATGGTACCAGGGGCCCCAGAACCAAAGGCCTTCAAGGGAGTTTAAAACCTCAGAGGTGGCCTGATTGAGGGTTGAGGCCTCCTCTGAGCAGGCCTGACCCACATCAGTTAATCAGAAAACCCTTTTCTCTGTCCTTAGGCGGGTCCTGTACACCCCCTTTGCTTTAACATATTCTGGAAAGTTCCTAGCGGAGGCTGAGCCTGAGCCTGAGGGCCCATACCCTGACCTCCCTGGGTATTAGCTTTGTCTCAGCCTCTGGGCTGTTGAACTCTTAATTCATCAAAGCACTTAGAACAGGGCCAGGCACTTAGGAGTTTATCTTCCATCAACAGAGGCCCTTGGCCTCCACAAGCCCAGGAGTGAGCCTCATGGAACTTCCGAGGCTTCAGGAGGCCTTGAGGTGGTGTATTGCAGCTCCCCACTCTGGGTCTGGCTTGGGGAAGGGGGGGTATGTGTGGGAAGGTCTGAGATTCCTGGGGAGTGTGTACGCGACAGGCTGGGCTTGGCCTCACACCTGTGACATTCATTGCACAGAGCTGGGGCCTAAGCCAGGAACCAAGGCTATCCATGGCACACGTGTGACTTGGGTGGCTGCTCACCAAGAGGACAGAGGAGGGAGAGAGATTGTGTCCTTCCTGTGAAAATGGAGCACTGACTGTGTGCCCTAGACGGGGGACCAAGTGCAAAGACCCTGGGACAAGAAGGGAGCTGAAGGGAATCTGGCAGATGGGTGGCCAGAGGCAAATGTGCCTCTAATCTGTCTTCTTTTTTTTTTCTTTTTTCTTTTTTTATAATTTTTATTTTTGTTTAAAGTATTACAGATGTCCCTTTTTCTCCCCAATGAC